CGAAACAGAATTCATTCATTATAGTAATAATTTTGTACGATTTTCGTCTAAATAAAAGAATAAAATTATTCTGCTATTAAATCTGAATAGCGTCCTAGTCAAGAGCAAAGCGGCTCAATCCCGAGATGCCACTTTACGCAAGTCGAATCTGATTGGCTAATCGGATCATGCCATCGGTCACATGGATTTCTTGACAATATACCAGTAACTTTGTTGATCTGAATGTGCGCGTTTATTTTTCAATTAAAAGCTTATGATGCTTTACGTTTTCAATGAAAAAGCGAAGCTACGAGGCTCCCACTTTGCTGAAAGCGAAGTCGCTGATGTTTTTCAAAGTTAAAAAAATTTGCCCGGTATCCACTTCAGATGCGCAGGCATTGCGTGCGCATGCGCAATCAAAAGGTCATGTGAGCTGACAAACTAATAGATTCGACTTGCGTAAAGTGGCATCATGGGATTGAGGCGCCTTGTCAAGAGGCCCTCAGACTGATATTTATTCTCATCTGATTTGTTTACTTGAAGCAAGCTTTCGCATACTCTTGAAGCTGAATTCATTATAGTAATAATTTTGTACGATTTTCATCTGAAAAGTATTTTTTTTAAACAAACCTTTCAGGAATTTCTGAAAATAAATTTCTCTTCATGCTTTTTCAGCAAAGAATTTCTTGCATCTTATTAGGATTTTATAGAATATTATTGCATTTTAAGTATTAATAGAATTTCTTATGGTAAGACATAAGAAAACGCCGCGGTTTCTCGCCAAACAGGCAAAATCACGCCAACCAACCTAAAAGTCGCCAAACATCCGTCATGTTGGGTGGATGCAAGATGGCGTTTTTTCCTAATGACCGCCATTGACGAAATGTTGAAAAGTAGAAAAAATGCTCTAAAATTGAAACGAAATTATGTAAAATGAATGAGAAGATTATGCATTAAAACAGAAAATTACTGCTAAGAGAATATTAAGAAAAATGCCCAAACACATGAAATGCTTACCGAGAATATTTTTTTCTGAATTAAGCCCCCCCAACTCCCCGTTTCGCTGGAAATGACAAAATTAAAACAAGAAAATAGACACAAATTCAAGAAAATTTGCTAAATTCTTACTGATAGTAAATCAAAATGACACCGGAATAGACAAAAATTTTGCTAAAATTATGGAAAAAAGAACTTACTTCATTTGACGGAGTCCTGAGTTTCTGGGGGATACAATTCGGTAATACCTCTAATGAAACAAAGAAACAGAGCTTTCAAACTCGCCGCCACATATACTCTGCTAAATATGAGTCGAATTGGCCCAAGACTTTTTTCGTTCCTTCTTGGAATGAACCAAAGATGAGAGAAAGAAAAAAAGCGACCGCAAGGCGCAAACGACGGAAGGCAAAAGAAAGATACAGCCATATGCAAATTCTGTCAATGTTTTAGGGTTGCCAACAAAAAAAACCTTGTCATAATTATCTTAGATTGCTGAATCAAAGAGTTTTTATTTGGTAAACGTGAAAGATCAACATTAACTGCAGCAGCATCATACTTTCTCCCAAACTTTTAGATATTGTGTTAATCCAGGTAAACTAATATTGCGATTCTCACTAATTCTTTGGACCATTTCATATTCTTAGCGATTTCTGAGTTGTGTTGGTTCAACTCTCGAATAATGGAAGCAAATGCTCCTTCGGCAGTTAGCAAAATCGCGTTTCGACTGCATGGTTTTTCCAGGCCAATGTTTAATGACTTCAAACCTGCTACGATTGTAATCCGAGTTTCAAATTCTAAATTAGCCAAAATTTCTTGTTCTTTAATATCAATTATTGCTTTAGAAGTTGCAGATTTCATGTCTAGTGGACTTTCACTTGCTTTAAGACCTGCTTTATTGCATTTTAACTGTGTTGGTCACTTGGTGGTATTTTATGATGTCTTATGCTTTTTATATACTTTTTATACTTCGTTTCAATTTCGGGCATTATTTTGCATGTACTCTTTGTTCCTCATCTCTTTATACTGGGTGGTATTGTGTATTGTTGTTGAATATTTTATTGCAATATTTTACTGTTTTTAATGGTTTTTATATATTGTCTACTGCTCTCCCATCCCACGCTTATTCTGCAAACTTTTTAAACTTGTCTGTTTTTGTTAGATTTTGTGATCTTATTTTTAAAATATTTTAATAGAGACCTATTTAAATCTTTTTTGACCCTAGTCGGTTTATGTGTCGTTGTTTTTTTTAACTTTTACGAGGTTAGATTCGTTCCTCCGTTCTCTCCAGGGGTTGGTTGTAGGTAATTGGGGTGTGTTGGGATCTCCTTCGAGCCTGTATTTGGGATTGTGTTTCTTAATTGACTTTTACATTTTTTTGCTGTTTTATCTGTTCTCTTTTTAACGAATCGGATGTCGTCGATTTCACTCTGATGTTTCCTGGTTTGGGTTTAGATCTTTTTAAATGACCTATTTGGAATTCTCTTTTAACTTTTTATACGACTTGGTGTGTGTGTGTTTGCTGTGATTCGTGTGATGTGTGTGTGTCTTGTCTGTCTTTTGTGTGTTTTATATTTGCTTTTTATATATGGTAATTTTATTTATTAATTGTCTGCATTGCGGGATTCTTATGCTGATCTGTTGTAACACTTTAATTGTATATTTTCGTGGCGACCGATGAGTTGGTCGCTTGAGACCTCAACGCTTGTATCGTTTTATCAATTATGTTGCGACGTTATATATTGTGTCCGGCACCTTTTGTATTTAATTTCTGCTCCTGTTTGAGCATAGTATGTATTGGCGTTTTATTTTTGTAACTACGTTTACTAAGTTTGTGTGTCCGGCACCCTTTTTATTCTTTATGTGTCCAGCACCCTTTTTATATTTTACTGCCACTATGGGCAATGTTTGTAACATTTTCACTTTGACTAAATAAAGGCTGGTCCGGGGTCTGCGTCTAGTCGTTGGCCGACGCGCATTGGAGGTTTCTTTGCTTCCCCGGCGGCCTTTTTTGCCTTACACCCTTTTTGGGTAGGCTGGGCCGTCGTGGGTATTAGAACAAGCCCACGAGTTGTCCGCGTGGCCCAATGGATAAGGCGTCTGACTTCGAATCAGAAGATTGCAGGTTCGAGTCCTGTCGCGAGCGAAAATTTAGGCTTCCATTTTCGATGCATTCCCGACTATTAATATTTTATTAAAGTGTCTTTCATTCGCATTTTGTGTGAAACACGAGTGTTTCTGTGAAGTGTCCGCCTGGCCCAATGGATAGGGCGTCTGACTTCGAATCAGAAGATTGCAGGTTCGAGTCTTGTCGCGGACGAGAAATGGGGCTTCCTTTTCCGATGCATTTAAGATTATTAATATTTTATTAAAGTGTCTTTCATTCGAATTTAGTGTGAAACACGAACCATCTTCGAGTTGTCTGAGTGGCCAATGTATAGGGCGTCGGACTTCGAATCAGAAGATTGCAGGTTCGAGTCCTGTCGCGGGCGAGAAATGAGGCTTCCTTTTTCGATGCATTTAAGATTATTAATATTTTATTAAAGTGTCTTTCATTCGAATTTAGTGTGAAACACGAACCATCTTCGAGTTGTCTGAGTGGCC